CCCTAGCCGCTTGAGCCACAGGCGCCAAGCCGTAGGTTACACTTTTAAAAGCAAATAGTATGATCTCTCGTCAAGTAGATGATGAAAGACTTGAAGGAGAAGAGTTATCATGTTGTTATCTGAGGACAACTGACAATTGTCCCAGGTGTAGTATAGCCGGCGCAGAAGCCCTTACACAAGAGCGTGGCCAACATGTTCTCAGAGCAGCGCTGGAGCCCGCGCACTGGAGGTGTAAGGGAGAGAGTGGTAGGAGATAAGAGCTGAGATGGAATGGGGAGCCAGATCAGGCAGGACCTTACAGACCACTATACCTATGTTAACTTGTTCTTTGATATCAGGAGTGATTGGAAGGTTTTTGGGTAGAAAAATGATGTGAGCTGACTTCCATTTTAAAAGAATCACTGGTTACTGGGTAAAGAACAGATACAAGATATGAAATACTTCAAATCTCAAGAGAAAATCTTCTCTCTAGTGTATTCTGTACTTGGGAAGAGAGCATATGTAATTCTGCTGTAGAATCTAATGCTTCCTTCTTTTTAAAAAAAAAAAAAGTATAATTTCAGGCAGCACCTTTGGCTCAAAGGAGTAGGGCACTGGCCCCATATACTAGAGGTGGCAGGTTCAAACCTGGCGCCAGCCAAAAACTGAAAAAAAAAAAAAAAGTAGGGCTGTGCCTGTGCCTCAGTGAGTAGGGTGCTGGCCCCATATACCAAGGACCAAGGGTGACGGGTTCAAACCCCGCCCTGGCCGAACTGCCACAGAAAATAGCTGGGTGTTGTGGCTGGTGCCTATGGTCCCAGCTACTTGGGAGGCTGAGGCAGGACAATTGCCTAAGCCCAGGAGTTAGAGGTTGCTGTGAGCTGTGATGCTACAGCACTTTACTGAGGGTGACAAAGTGAGACTCTGTCTCTAAAAAAAAAAAAAAAAAAAAAAGTATAATTTCCATTTTATTTTTTTCTAAAGTTAGTTTTCCTTTAGTGCTCTAGGACTGAAGTCCTTACATTGGCTTTGGTGAAGGTCGTGGGACAGCAGTACCTATAGGTCTACACTGGGATGGGGATCCTCCCGGGCTTCCCGAGAACTGTTACTGACAACCTTGCTGTTAGTGGCACAGCTCACACAGTAATGCAGTGTCACACACAGCTCAGGAAGCACTTAGGCATCGGAGACACTCAACTCCAGAAATGTCCCTGACAACTGTGGCCTCTACTATGATTCAGATGACAAACTTCTTTTTGTTTTGGTTTATTTTGTTGTTGAGACAGAGTCTCACTATATTGCCCTTGGTAGAGTGCTGTGGCATCACAGTTCACAGTACCCTCAAACTCTTGGCTCAAGCAATTCTCTTGCCTCAGCTTCTCAAGTAGCTCGGACTACAGGTCCCTACCACAATGCCCGGCTATTTTTTTGTTGCAGTTGTCATTGTTGTTTAGCCCGGGCTGAGTTCGAACTGCCACCCTCAGTGTATGTGGCTGGTGCTGTAATCACTGTGCTACGGGCGCCCAGCCTTTTTTTTTTTTTCTTGAGACAGAGTTTCAATATGTTGCCCTTGGTAGAGTACTGTGGCATCATAGCTCACAGCAGCCTTACTCTTGGATTCAAGGGATTCTCTTGCCTCAGCCTCCTGAGTAGCTGGGACTACAGGTGCCTGCCACAATGCCCAGCTATTTTTAGAGACAAGGTCAGGCTGGTCTTGAACCTGTGAGCTCAGGCAGTCCATCAGCCTGAGCCTCCCAAAGTGCTAGGATTATAGGTGTGAGCCACCGCGCCCAGTCCAAACTTTTTTTTTTTTTTTTTTTTT